CAAAGGGCCGTGACATCATTCTTTGAAGCTAGTTAGCGCATTACACCTCGAAGTCGTAAGCGACATGACAACACAGGCGTTCCTAGCGGCGTTTAGACGCTTTATTTCTAGACGAGGTCACTGCGCTAGGTTATATAGTGACAACGGAACCACATTTGTTGGTGCCTCTAAGGAACTCGCATTAATTTGCAGTTCGGTTGCTGAACATTTGGAGTGGCACTTCATCCCTCCCCATGCACCGAATTTCGGTGGATTATGGGAAGCCGGCGTTAAGTCTACAAAGACTCATCTTAGGCGAGTTATAGGCGATGCCACGCTAACCTACGAGGAGCTTTCAACGCTGTTAATACAGGTGGAAGCATGCCTCAACTCTAGACCAATGAGTATCGTAAGCCTGGGTGACCCAGGAGAGTGTGTACCTTTGACCCCGGGACATTTTCTTATCGGTGAACCGTTGATAGCATTACCCGACTGTGGGAATTATGAAACTTCCAACGTGCATTCTCTGACTCGCTGGCAATTTGTTCAGAGGATGTTACAATCGTTTTGGAGGCGCTGGTCACAAGAATATTTATGTAACTTAATGCACCGGTACAAGTGGTCCTCTAAAGTTCAAGAACCAAATATTGGTGATATAGTTCTCATAAAGGAGGATGATTTACCCCCCAGTCGTTGGTTAATGGGTTGCATTTTGGAAAAACATTCAGGAGATGATAATGTCACCCGTGTCGTTACCTTACGCACAAAATCAGCAATCATAAAAAGGCCAACAAACAAATTGTGTATATTGCCTGTAGAACACGAATAAAATGTTTTTTTTGTAATTATTATTTTTTATATTATAGTTTATTTTTAAATTATTTAGATTGTATACCTTCTTTACCATTTAAGAAAGGCCGATTCGTCTATATCGTCCTTTGGTGGGCAGTATGTTTACGATGAACGCAAAAGCAAATGGATCAATTGATTGATCTTAGTTAAAAATTTTGTAGATCCTCAATAGATGGCGTTGTACTGGCTTTCTAGATCGCGGTATGGTTGCGTTACCGTCTTGTACTTAAAATATAATATTTTTATAAATAAAGAGGTCGATCAAGATCGGAATACAGCGCAGTGGTTTCATTTCACAAACCCTACTCTAGTGTTCTCATTCAGTACACCCACCGGTCGACCGCAGATCGCGACACCTAGCGGCGTGTCGAACAAATATATAAGTATGTTTATCAGCAGTCTGGTTACCATAGCACAGTTTCTACCTAGTTTAGAATCAGAGAGATGAGTGGTTTGGTGAGAGATGTGTGAAGCTATTATTATTAAAAGAAAATATCTAGTCTCGTATAGATTTCATTATACTTTGAAGAAATCATTATTGTTTGTTAACAGCAAGCCTGCTGAGCGGGTAGGATGCGGCGGCATGCACCGCATCGTGCTTCTAATGGCGGTGCTCACACGGGCCATCGCGCCACAAACCACTAACACAGGTAAATGTCAAGTACACTTTAACTTTTGTAACTTATAATAAACCTGGTCTACTCCCACTTGGTATATTAAGTGTAAGTACTTTGAGAATGCTGTCCTGTATGAAAAATCTGGATTAAGTTACAAACAAAAACTAAGTGCTTTAACTACTACTAATTTACTTAATTTACTACTTGTTTACTAATCAAAAATTATATCTTACTTTTATTCGTTTCACTTCAGTATAATTCCGAAAATACTTTGATATCTCTAACACACTCATATTCATGTATCCAAAGTACATAGATTCTCCACTTTATAGGTTGTAAATTGAAGTTTGTGGATCATTAATTAAAGTTGACCATTGCTTAACACATTGAGACCCTTTCGTACCTCGGAGAGCACATTAAGTCTTCCGTCCCGATTGCCACACGAACATCTGTGACAATCATTATGGGTAGTTAGAGCCCTTAAAACTCCGTAGGAGACTTAAAAGCCGCCCCCAACCTAGTTTGGGTAAATAGCTCGGCAGAAGAAATAGAACTACAATTAAAAAAAAACCCGTTTTCAATAACCCTACCATTTCTAGCCGAATAGTTATCAGTACTATAAATAATTAATTCTATTGTGCGAATACAATTAATCAACTGTCATTGTTTAGGAATTTAATAATAACACAGATAGCATAGTTGAACAAGTTCATACGTTCATGATACGATTAATTATGCTAATTAATCGTCTTTTGTACATGTGAAAATGAGTAAGCACAATATAAATTAATCGATAAAGTTCTCTCTGGAACCTTTATTATTAATATGTATCATAAATTTATGACCTGATATTTGTTTATTAGGTAAATAAAATCAATTAACGAAGCAATGTAAACAAGGAGCGATGTTTGTATTTGTTGTGGTTAAATTAATTTATTTTGAGATTATGAGATCTGTAAGAACCACAGTCAGGAAGTAGTAGTGCTAGATGATTAAATCCATGTGAGCAGCTTGGCAAAACTTGGGTTAGGCCTATGTCTAGCGGTGAACGTTTTTCCTTTGAGACGATGAAGAAGAATAACACGTTTATGGAAACAGTGCTATAATGTGTAAATTTAAAAGTGATGAAGACAGTGAAAAATTAAAAGTTTAAGATGGAAATATGTACGTCTCCGAATATAATATCTTTATTAAAATGTTACGCAGTTTTTAACCAATACGTTATTTTACAATGTAACCTTAAACTTTATTGGTCATTTCATCAATCATCAACAGCCTATAACAGTCCACTGCTGAACGTAGGCCTCTCCTTAGAAAGGAGGTTTTGGCCTACTATACCACGCTGGCTAGACGGGTTGGTATAGGGTTTGTGTCAAGTTTTCCTTCTTTTTGCAGTGCAGTTTGCTCCCTTAGTCGGCTCTTACGACACCCACGATATGAATGGGGGTGGTGACATTGAGTATTCTTAATCCGTCACCATACACCACATAATTTAGTTTATCATAAACAGCATAACTTTTACTACATAGTAACAGTTATTGACTGTTCAGTTCATGAGTTATAAAAAATATCAATGATTGATGTCTCAATGTATGTACTCGTAGTGTGCGTACGTCACTTGTCAAGAATCTCTTCAAGCCTTGACATGGGTTCGAAGCCTTATTTACTTTAGCCTGATATAATTAAGAGTATTACATTATATTAAAAATGGTAAATACATACATATTATACACAAAAAAAACCCAATCTCTGAAACCAATATTTGCAGAGCATACAAATATTTGGTTTGACCCGGGAGTCGAACCCGAGACCTCGGTGGCGCAGTGGTAGCGTATGAGACTGCTGCAGTTAGATACTTGTTTTCATCCCCAAAGATTTGGGGTTCGATCTTGGCATAAAGATAGTCGAAGAGCACCTTGCTGTGGTTTTTTTAAGGTATTTGGGGCAAACAATCAGACAAGTCATCTGATGGTAAGTGGGTACGGCTCAACACAACTCAACTCAAAATATCTCGATTTCATTTTTTTAAATTATTTGAAATCGTCTCTTGTATATACCCTAAAGTCATAGATCAACACACACAATAGCAATAATCTCTGTTTTGGCAAATATTTAGCAAACTAAATATATACGTATCGAAAATCTCATATATGCCTGTACCGATCTACAACCGCCCATTCCCAAGGAGTCATGAGAAGAAAGGGTAAACAAACTCATGAACATCAGCAACTCTAGAGATACAAATATGTTGCCCCCTTTGAGTCCTCAGAAACCTCGCTCGGTCGGTGAAAAGCTACCAAAGAAAAGCTTGACACCAGTTTTACCTCATCATCATCAATAGCTTTTAACAGTCTGCTGCTGGGCATAAGCCCTCCGTAGAAAGGAGGTTTTGGCCTACTGTACCACGCTAGCGAAAAGAGTTAGTATAGGGTTTGTGTCAAGTTTTTCTTCTCTTTGCGTTGCTGTTCTTCTGCGTAGTTTTTTCCCTTTACCACACGGATTATTAACAGAATACTAACTTTCTCTATAGTTGATTATTCTATTTCAGCACATTTTTAATAGTTGTACTTAATTATTTTGTAATTATTTTGAATAAAAAAAAATAAACAGTAACACACAACAGCTTTAACTATTTTTTTTTCTTTTTCACAGGTCAAACGACTACTGATCCGACTAAATCGATATCCTCAACAATGGCAACGTACCCACCAACGGTCTTCCGCAGCATAAGGGTCACCAGTAAGCCTCGTAAACAGGGGATGAGGCAAGGAAAATCTGACTCACCGATGTTAAATTATATCTTTGATTCCTACGCTACTAGTAATAAGCATTTTCATGACAAGTAAGTATCGGATTCCATCTCTAAATCGATATCCTAAAACTCTCTAAATCTGAAAATAATTGAATCTCTAGTTCACCTAGTCATCAGAAATTAGTTGAGAACAAAAAAGACGGACCTAGGAAGTAATTAAATTTTAAAAAAAAGTATTTATTAACGATCGATATAACATAAATTGAAGTCAATGTATTACGAATACTCTTGCACACAACTGCTAAACGAAGAAAGTAAAGTAAGACTAGTTAGAACAGAAAGTCTCTATGTAGAAACATTTGATTTAAAACGGATTGCACAGACCATTCCATGAGATAATTTTCATTTTACCGAGCACATGAGAAAGTCACATTTATGTCCTCATAAGTTACCTTAAAAACGAGTACCATCTACAGAAGTACTATATTATTTATTCAGATCTCGTACACACTACAGTGTCACAAAATAAATCTTATTCCCTACCTCAATCCCCAGGTGTTTACGCTTGTAATTTATAGCTTTTTTTTTGTCAATGTTACAAATAAAATTGTACCTATTCGAAATTTAAAAAATACTCACGAAGAGGCGTGTTAAACGCTCACGTTTAGCCCAATGGTACTTATAGGAAAGAGGGGGGCAACTGGCAATCAGACGGTATGACGGTAATAGTCGGCCAAGTGCTCGGCAATTTGCCGATGTTATGGGAAAATGCCTTCTCTTTATTCTTTTTCTCTTTTTAGAAAAGGAAAACTTGAAACCAAACCCTATACCTTCCCGTCTAACCAGCGTGAAATAGTAGGCCAAAAACTTTATTCTAAGGAGAGGCCTATGTTCAGCAGTGGACTAGTAAAGGCCTTTGATGATAATGGGAAAATTAGGGAAATATTGATAGTGAACCAGGGAAGGCAAATATAGTAGGCAAGGAATATTGTTCAAAACAAGTCGTTGTTATGCCATGCCTTTAACTTGAGTTAGCTATTGGCGGAAGGCTCTAAACTCTGGTTAAAGGTTTAAAACGGGCGTTTGACAGTTGTTCTGAACTTCATCTATTCACAAATTGTAAAAAAAAATACATCAAGAGCAGAAAACGGTGACAATAAAGGAGCATGATAAGATATTTGAGTCTGATTATCAGATTAATAGATGCCAAGGGACTTAAAGAGCTAGCAATGTGAATTTTTATTGCTAATTTCAAATACTTTCCATGTTTTCGCTTTAGAATAAGTACTTTAAATGTTAATGTGATTTGCGATCGAAATTATCTTATCTGTTGTTAAAAATGGTTTAGTCTTTCAATCTTAGATTCTAAAATCTTAAGGGAACTTTATGACACCAAAATAAGTCCTATAAAATTCAAAGAGATAGGTTATGTAGGTACAGTTGAGTTAAACCACTTGGCTATTGCGTAATCACCTTTTTTTTTTTTTTTTTTTTGTTGACGGGGTGGAAAATCCCTTCGGATCTCCTGCTCCTCGGGGCTAGGAGCTAGGAGTATGTGGTGATTCCACTAAAAACTACCCCGACGGCCGGCCTCGGGTGCCCTACTCTGAGAGGACCTGGACCATGTTATTTCAGGTCCTCCCCGAATTGACACCATGCCTAGTCAGGCCCTATCCCAGGGGAAAATTACTTCCCCCTCAATCGCGACGTGGCGGCCCAAATTCGTATTAATGCAATCAGGCCGCCATCCTATCCCCTTTTTTTTTTTTTTTTTTTTTTTTTTTTTCGGGGGGAAATCCTCATGGACTGCCTCCGCCTGGGGAAAGGCGGAGGGGCGTGCCGGACTCTTACCGGCTAAAACCACCCCGGTGTCCCATCACACATGCGCGCGGGGCCGCGGGAATCCAAATTCTTCCGCAGCCCCACACTAGTGCTGGCCCGGTCTGTCCGGGCCTCGTCTCCTGCACGGGGTAGTGAGGTGTTTAACTACCCCGGGCCTCGCCTCAGAGGCGCGCGCCGACACCCGCGCGCGCCTCCGCCTCGGGTCCAACGGATAGGGGGCGGGGACTTCCCCAAGTCTCTCGCCCCTGGACCCATTCATGGGGGCCGGAAAAGGGCGTTATCCGCCCTTCTCCTGCGCCCGGTGCGCCTTCTGCGGCCGGGGAAAGGAGTCGAGATCTCCCTCTCCCGTTCCGCAGTTTCCTTCTGCGACATCACGTCCTCGCAGAAGGACACCACCGCGTCCCACGACTCTGCGCTACCGACCATCCTCCGCACTACGGCCGGCAGCGACAGATCGCCTCCTACTTCATTTGTGAGGATACGGCGCTGCTCCTCCCAAGCTACACACTCGGCGAGCGTGTGTTGCGCCGTGTCCTCCCCACAATGGACGCAGTGGTGGCACCGAGCGTCCGGCTCCCTGTCTATGCGGCACAGGTACTTGCCGAAGCAGCCGTGCCCCGACAGCACCTGCGTCACCCTAAACGACAGGGAGCCGTGCCTTCTCCCGAGCCAGTCGTCGAGTACTGGCCGGATCGCCTCGACGGTAGCGAGGCCGGCGGTAGGGCGCAGAAGCCTTTGCCGCCATTCCGCCACCAAGACCTGACGGAGCTCCTCTCGGCGCAGCGCGATATGCCGCTGCACCGGCCTCGGGCCACGTGCCCGCTCTTCCTCGCGCCATCGGTATAATGACGCGAGTACTTTCCCCTCCAGGTCCCAGGGCGGGGATCCGGCCAGGACGCAAGCCGCCTCGTAGGAAATCGTGCGATACAAGCGGACGACTCTGACGGCCATCGCCCTCTGCGGTTTCGCAGAATGGCGAGAGTGCTGGCCGTCATGTCCAACGCCCACACAGGGGCCCCATACAGGGCCATGGACCGCACGATTCCCACGTACAACCGCCTACAGGTGGCGCTCGGGCCCCCCAAGTTGGGAAGCAACGTTGAAAGCGCGCCCGCTGCACCTATCAGCTTGGGCGCCAGCCGCCAGAAGTGGGGCCCGAATTCCCATCGGCTGTCGAGCACCAATCCCAGATACTTCATGGTGGACTCGACAGCTATCCGGGCCCCGCTGACCACGATGTGTGATCCCGGCGCCGGCGCACGTCGGGGGCCATGAAACACCATGGCCTCCGACTTGTTTAGGGCCACCTCCAGGCCCAGGCGCCGGATGCGGTTCAAAACCTGTGACACCGCAGCCGTGGCTATCAACGTCGCCTCCCTGTGCGAGCTCCCCCGGGCAGTAATAAGCGTGTCGTCCGCATAACACGTCTAGTCGGCACCCGACGGGAGCTCGCCTCTCAGCACCCAGTCGTAGCCGATGTTCCACAGGAGCGGTCCCAAGACCGATCCCTGCGGAACACCGCACGACATGAGGTGCCAACCAGCACCGTCACGTCCCCGATAGGTGACGCATCAGCCCTCCAGATAAGCCCCTACCGTACGGCGGAGGTAGGGAGGCACGCGATGGTATTTCAGAGCAAGCCGAATACAACTCCAGGAATCCAACTAGGGTGTTGAATGCGTTGGAGATGGCGTAAAGACACCGCCAGCACCACCCCACCCCGGGACACTATCTCCTCCGCCAGGGCCCTCACGCGCATGATGGCGTCTATGGTGGAGCGCCCCCGACGAAAACCAAATTGGTTGTCGTCCAGGTCCGGCCCCTCCCTGCACAAGTGGCTGACGAGGCGATCTGCGATAATACGCTCAAAAAGTTTGCCCGCCTCGTCGAGCAGCACTATGGGCCGATACGCGGACGGCGAGTCCGCGGGGCGCCCCTCCTTCCTGAGCAGGACCAGCCTCCCCTCCTTCCACACACTGGGAAACTGACCCTGCTCGAGACATGCCGTGAAGAGCCCCCTCAGCTGGGGCTCTAGCTCCTTCAGAGCCAGGACGAGAGCTCGACCAGGAACTCCGTCGGGTCCGGGCGCTGTGTTCTTAGCCCGGAGTCGCGACACGGCCGCTCTCGTCTCCGCTTGCGTCGCCTCGGGGACATCGGTGCTCTCCTCTTCTGGAGAGTCTGTGGCTGAGGGCGGAGCCATCGCCGGGGGAACGTGTCCCGCTCGCTCAGGGAAGAGGGCCGATACCACCGCCTCTAGCAACTGGGGTTGCATGCTTTGAGTAAGTGGAGGCACCCAGGGACGCAACTTGCCCCGTACCCAACGGTAGGGGCGCCCCCACGGGTCCCGATCTAGAGACCCCAGCAGCTCCTCCCTGGCACGCGACTTAGAGTCGCCGATGGCCAGCCACAGAGTCTCCTTGGACGCGCGGTACACCTCATACAGCGCGTCTTCCTCGACGGAATCCCGTCGACGTCGTCTCCGGTATCGCGTGTACCGGCGGCGAGCCGCAACGCACTCAACGCGCAGCCGAGCGATCTCGTCGGGCAGAGACGTCGAACCGGATATACCGATGGTCCGACAGTGTCTCCACCTCCACGGCGACACGCCAGTCGTGGACTCGGCTGGCGACAGAGGGGCTAGCGAACGAGACGTCCACTATCGACCCGCCCCGCTGCCGCACGCACGTGTATTCCGAACCCCGATTCAGGACGACCAGACCAGTCGTCACCGCCCACTCTTCTAGCGCCTCGCCCCGAGGGTCAGTGACCGGAGATCCCCACGCCGATGACTTGGCGTTGAGATCTCCGAGCACCAGAACGGGACGAGGGTGATAGCGGCCTACGACGGCGCCCAACTCGACAAGGAAACCCTCAAAGTCGGCGAGACTCTTGTTGGGGGAGAAATACGCCCCCACAATGACGATGCCGCCCGAGACCGCAGCAACCCAGCCGCGGCCCCGAGACGGGTCGATCAGAGTCTCGCCAATAATGGCCACCAAACCGTCAGCGCACCCCAGCCAGCTGTCACGGGCGGGAATGAAGTACGGTTCGGCGACCACAGCCACGTGGATCGACCACTCTGCCATGCTCTGGAGTAAAAGATCCTGAGCTCTGGCACAGTGATTGATGTTGCCCTGGAGGAAATGGAATTGTGCCATTATTGACATTCCATTCCCTCGGCAACGGTCCTGGGCCGGGAGTCGGCCGCGGAGCTACTAGCCTGCGGGGGCGGCGAGGTTTCCCCGGCA